GTAGGTGCTACCCACTGGCCTTTCAAATAGCAGTGGACACATATGAAGGCACACTAAACGTAAGTATGGTAACTCTAATTAGCAAATACAAATACAGGAAGCAAATATTTTTAGTATAAGTATGTCCCAGATAGTACCACACATTATTGCTAAAATATATGTTTGTTGTTCTTCTGGAATTCAACTTTATCTGGACATCCTTTGACGTAACTCACTGTTCTATATTCCCCACACATTGTCCAACTGAGGTCACAATTCTATGTCTTTGTAGGCTGTCAGGAATGACTTACTAGTTTGAACAGTAACACACACAACTCAAATGAGTTCTGTGAAACTTCCCTTAAGTGCTTGGCTGCTAACTGAAAACACTGGTTCTAACACCCTAGCTGCTCCGAGGGACAAAGCTGTGGCAGGCTGCTCCTGTAGAGGTTGAGGGCCCTGGAAACCCTAGGGGAGAGTGCCCCTAGCTGCCAGGATCTCTGCGAGTCAGGAAGGCCTCCATGGCAACGGGCAAGGACAACTTCAGGACTTTTTGAGTGCAGGAGGAGCCTGAAACAGCCAGATCTCAGAAACAGCAAGGACAGAGGTTCTTCTGCTTTCCAAGTAGAGTCTCATTTGTATCAGACATTTATTTGATAGCTGGTATCACTTCTGACGTGGCTGTGGTGGTGACAGGTCTTTTCGTGATGCTCAGCCGGCATCTTTCTGCTTACTCTGCCTCAAGGTCTTCTCAAATGTGGGGCATCCTTTTTTGGATTTTCCCATTTGAGTATCACACTCCCTAATCCCGTCAGTCTACTTCTAAGGGCCATAATCCCTGCTTTCTATTTCTTAGTTTCTGCTCTTGTGGACACTTAAAATAAGATGTCATTACTGTCAACTGCTCTCAGAAAGGAAGGTTAACTCGCTCCTGAATTATTGCAAGCCAACCATTTTATTTTTGTGGATATACACTAGTAGCAGAAATCAGCATGTCTGGACTGGAGGTTTGTATTCATCACTATGCTGGAAAATAAAAACAAATGTTACAGCCTAGATGTAAAATACAGTTGATTCTTGACTAGAACATTCAGTTCCTTTTCCTAGTATAATGTATCGTGATAGACACAAATTTCCCTGAATTTGATAGTAATTCTAAAACAATACCTGGCATCACCAATAATGAGTTGTGAATGCCAAATCAATCGCTCTCCACTGTCAATAATGAAAATCATATTTTGACTAATCATGCTAGAGGAAAGAATAAATATCTTTTGATTCTTTCACATGAAGAAATACACAAGAGGCTGCAGCCAGAAAGAGGGCTGAATATGTTAAAGAGTGTTCTATGCTCCAGGGAGGAGGTCTGGTGTGCAGGGGTTAAATGTTTGCCTGACAACGGCAAGGGTAACTGTTGGAACGCAGCGGTCCAGTTGCCAAGGAAAGATGTGGTCATCTGTAAAGATGCATAGCCTGGGCCAGCATGTATGTATATATTATATATACATTATCCATCTATCTATATGTAGTATTATCATCCAAAATATAAACAAATTGTTTGTTGAGTCCTTTCTGTCTCACAGCATGACACAAGTAGTTAATTAATGAAACACCATTTTTGTCTCAATTCTGTGATGTGTATGTAATTTGCCAGGTATTTAAATTATGCCTGTGGTTACTATTTCTTTGCTTTTTTGTAAAAATAAAAACATTCATGTTTCATTCGGCAAAATTGTCATTTGGTTTAAGAAACTCTGGTGGCGCCTTGGCTCTCTGCACTCAGCTGCTAGCTGAAAAGTTAGCTGTCGAACCAAGGAGAGGCTCCTTAGGAGAAAAGGCCTGCCAATCAGCTCCCACAAAGGTTATAGCCTAGGAAACACTACGGGGCTGTTCTACTCTGTCAGACAGGGTTGCTGTGAGTCTGAATCTATTTGATGACACATAAAAATGGCATTCTTTGATTTCAAGAATCCTGTTAGATTATCCTTCACACTCCACAAAACCTACATATATTTGTCACTTATATTTTTGCCCCATTTTGAAAATCTTTTAGCATTTTGAGTAGTATTTAAAACCAGTTAATTTAATATCCTGAACAAACTAATTTTATATCAGCATCTCTAAAATGGGAGTTTTTACATTTGATATGCTTTCTATGTATGTAGAAACAAAAGTGTCAACAAAAGTAAACTACAGGCTAATCTATTCATGATCAAAACCTACTTTTGCATGTGGAAAACATCATTAGATTGGTTTTGGTTTTGCTCTAACTTTTCATAATAATACATCAGATAGCTGAATGGACAATATTTTCCAAACTCTTTTCAAAAGGAATGATAGTTTAAGGAATCCCTTAGGGTCTTCTTTTGCCTGCTGCCATCAAGTTTAGATGATCGCACAATTACTTGCCATGCAACAGGCTGAACATATTAAGTAACAGTTTAGAGCCTTATATAGAACAATAGAGAATAAAACTTTCATTTTTATGCATCATTTCTTCAGGAAAACACATCATGAGGGGAAATAGCTTTGAATAAGTTCAGTGAGGGCTGCCATTTAGTTAATTAACTTAACCATTTTCATTAGCCAACTCAATATTGACTTTAGAATAATGGCTGCTTAATTTCTTTTGAGCAATGAATATGTATGAACAATTGTCAAAGGTAAAGTAAAATTTAAGTAAATATTGAGTAAAAAACTAAAAATCAGGTTATAGAAATATGTCTGAACACTCATTGGCATGCACTCATGAACTTACCTTCGATTGCAGTATGTTGCTGCAAACTTTCAAGACATGACCTTGGCATAGGCACATTATTTCAGCTGCTTAGCAAAGGATTTGTAATAATCTCAATTTTATAAGAAAGCGCATTTCTAAATTGGTTGGAGAAGACTAAAACAATGCATAAATCCAATGCACTGAATATAATTTTCTGCTTCAATTGGCAATCTAGGCTTTTGAAAAACAGGCTTACTTTTTTAACCTTTTTTGGCCACATTCATTGTATGTGTCTTCATATTAGAATAAATAAAATCAGCAGGCTCCTATTGATTTGGGGAGGGAGAAACCTCATATGTAGGACTGAAAGAAAATGAAGTCCATCATAACCAATTGATGAACAAATATGTGATGAAAACTGAAGAAAGTAATAACATAAAAACCAAGGGTAAATAAAAACACACTTCTGAAATACAACAATGATGCTAAAATCTGAATTTTCTTCTCCCTAAGACTTAAAGGTGGAAAGGGGTACAAAATTGTTTTATTAATTATATTGTATTATTACAATCAACATACTCCATAGAGCAATGTGTTTTATTTCCCTAACTATAATTTTCTTAATCAGAGCCCACAGAAAAATCAATTGGGTAGGAGTCTTTTGGTTTTTTTTCTTTTTAAAATAAGTATATCCAAGTCTCCTACCAGAGTATCTAATGCAGTCAATCAGTAATGGAGACTTTATACACAAAACAAATGTTTGCATTTATCATTTGAAACTACAGGCCTAGATTCCAGTAGTACAAACACTCCTGTCACGGTGGACACACAATGCAATGTCCATAAGTAGTAATAAAATGAAACTGTGTTTGTTTTCCCACTGTCAATTACCTTTCACCTCAAATGTTCTATGTTTAAAATTGAGGTCAAGTGTAACGTAGTAAAACAAATCGTGCAAGACTTGGAAGGCCTCAGCTTAGTGGTCTGCGTTTTGACTTTTGAGCGTTCCTATCTCAACTGAGCCAGTTAACCTCTCTCTCTAAACCCTTTTGTTCTTTAGTAGAACTGTGCCTGTATTCTTGAAGTAACTGAACCTTATACTTTTCTATCACTCCGCTTCCTGTTTTATTCTCAATTCACTCCCAAGTCCCCTTTCATGTCAAATCATAATATCTCAGAAAAGCAAGCTACTTCACACCCATATGGCTGAGCTACTAGTGAAATCTCAACTTAGCTCACAGGCCTACTATGTCTATGTGTTATAGTCCAACCCCTAGATAGTCACCAGGTTGAGCTTTCTAAAATAAAAGACAGTTCTTCACACGGAGTCCTTCTCTAGACTAGAATTGCTTATAGGTGTACAATGGGGAGGGGTCACACTACCTTGACTCCCCTAAAAAGTTCAGTGTACTATCCCAGTAGGCCATAACATATACCAGCCAAAGCAAAGGCATCCACTTATTGGGGAAAACAATATAGATGTATCACTGGGCTCCTTGAGGTGGCCTGATGGTCGAAGCAGTTGAAACTATTGCCTTTCCTTATGAGTCAACTTCTGCTCAATGATCATTAGTAATCACCATTTCCATTACTCAAAAGTTGAAGGTTTTAGGTCCCCATAGCAACCCTACAGGTCAGATTAGAACTTCTCCTGTGGATTTCTAACTCTCTCTCGAGTTAAGTGTCTGTTTTAATTAAAAAGCTAACAAACTGCCTAGTTACATTTTGCACTGCCAAAACACAAAATGGGTGAGAACTGAGTCTCAGTCTAAAATATTCACAGCTGAGAGGATTAAAGACACAAACAGTCCTCAGGTTCAAAGAAAGGAGTCTTGCTACACACAAGTTAACCCAGACCAGGGGTACTCCTCAACTCTAGGGAGTTGGCAATAAACCTAATAACCCCCCTGCATATCATTTACCTTAGCCCTTTTCCAGTGCCCAGTTCATGAATAAAGATCATATTTTTGTTGTCTATTTCTGCAAACCCTGCAAGTTGTTTTATTTACATTGCCTTCTTTGAAAAGGTTGATAATGTCTAGTAGACAATAAACTAGACCAAAATCACTTTACAAAAAGAGGAAAGCACAAAGTGTCAGTTTCTAGAGAGAACCCACAGATGTTTTATTAAGAGAAAAACTGATCACACTTGAAACAGCTATACGTTTTAGAATCCATACTACAACTACACATGCAAGTTGATTTGCTGCTTCATTCGTCTAGTTTGTCTAATGTTAATAACCATCAACAGAGCAGTGAAACTAGAAGTGTTTCACTGTGTTGCAGTGAAGGGGACCATACTTCACTTCGCTTCACGCCACAGGCTCTGCCGGCGCAGCTGGGCTTCCTCCTCTTCAGTAAAGTCATTTTCGATATTAAAGGTCTGGCGAATCTCCTCAGGAGTTTTCTCCTTGATCATATTGGCAACGGTCTTGCAAGTAACATCAAACAAACCTTTGATGTCTAAATAGTTTGCAGCCATCATGAGTTCATAAAGTGTTTCCTGGTCAACTGTCAGGAATTCTTGGTCCCAAATTGGGATGTCCATGACTTTCTTTGCTTTGTCCTCATAGTTCTGAGGGGGAGGGGGAGGGGCATCCTCCATGTGGTAGGTGCACCACTCAATGACCTTTTTTAATATCTCTGCACTCACGTTTGGTAAAGGAACTGGATCATCATCTTCATCATCCATTCCCAAATCTTCCACCATGGTCTTGATAATCTCAGATTGCTTGGCGATTTCCACATCGACTTCAATGATCTCTCCATCAGAACTCTGTAACTTAATTGACGGCATGGTGATCTCCCGGCAGGAGGCAGTTAACCCAAGGCTGGAGAGATCAGAGAGGCACCCGCAGCACTGGCAGAGGCAGGCACTGCTGTGGCAGGGGGCGGTGAGGGCCTTCATAGGGGCGGACCGATGACGTGAGGGAGGGGTCTGTGATGTCACGTGGCATCACAGAGCCTGTGGAGCTGGCTGCTAAGATCACCTGATGAAAGGCAGGCGGCAGTAGGTAGGGTCTTTCTGGAAATAGAAAGCCTCATCTCTCTCCCAAGGAGCAGCTGGTATGTTGGTGAAGGCCTTTAAAGGGGCAGGCGAAGGCGCCAAGAACCTAAGGGCCTGTGATGTCACAGAGCCGGTGGGGGTGGCCGACGAGATTGCCTGAGGAAAGGCAGGCTACTGTAGGGCCAGACTATGACTCTTTATGGAAATCGAAAGCCACAGCCTTCTCCCAAGGAGCAGCTGGTATTTTCGAACCAATGACCGTACACTTAGCAGCTCAGTTCGTAACCACTATCTGTATTGACTTGACGGTAGTGAGTTGAAGGAGCCTCAGTGGCATAAGGTTGAAGGTCTTGAATGCTAACAATGAGGTTTTTGATTTGAACCCATCCAGTATCTCCATGGGAGGAAGACCTGGTGAGTCGCTATGGGTCAGTTCTATGCTATCATGTGGGGTCACTGTGAACGGAAACCAACTTGTTAACTCCCAACAACAAACGTGTAAGTTGAAGATTCTCAAAGCCCTGCCCAACCGTATCTTTTCCATTTCTACCACTATCACTTGACTCAGTTTATTTGCAATTCTACCTACAGTCTTTTGTTTATTATTTCTCCAACTGTAATAATCTTGCTTCTTCCCTTAGGGGTTGCAGACACAACACTGTCAGTGAGAGGGATGCCTTCATTACTGTGATCTAAAGCTATTTTGCCCCTGTCCTTAGTCGTGGCCTGAATTATTATCCCCTGTTGCTATCTGAACATCGTCAGTGATTATTTTCTCAGCTAATCTGCAGGGTTGTGGGGGGCTTATGAAGGAATATAAAGTTACACTGTAACCTCTACTCTTCATAAGAATCTAGTTAGTATGATGTTGTTCACATGATAAATGTTCATATGCTTATTGAATGAGTAAACCCAATGTTCTATTTTTCTCATAAATTAGTCCATTTGAAAAACTAACATCTCTGTAAGTCAGGAATTCACCAACCAACTTCAAACTAACTTCTTTTCATATGAAATGGCTATCAGCCTTCACATCAAATTGGTGATTATAAAACTGGCAACCTGATATGACATTCAACCCTTAACTCCTGCTCTCCAAGATTAATCCTTTAAACCTCTTGATATGAAAAGTTCAGTGAGAAGTGAGTACCGTGTCACTTAGCAACATGCTGACCTTAAACAAGGTCAGTTAACCTTGCTGAACCTATAGTTCTTCTTCCCCCACAAAGGAGACAATATTCACCTCTTACAGGATTCTTTACTTGAAAGAGCATGCTGGGAAGCATTCAGTGTCATGTGCTCTCAGAGTGGTGTGCAGCCTATGGGCTTCTGAAAAATTGCGGCGATAAGAATGCAGCTGATGCCACTGCTGATCCAACCAGTGAGTTGAGAGCAGGTTTCACAATACAAGGGATGCATTATTTTGCTGAGGAACCACACTACCCACTGCTGCTAAGTTGATTCTGACCCGTCAAAGCCTTAATTTGCTGACTGGGTGAAGAGAATGAGTTAACACTCAGATTTTACTGTTAATAAATATTTCTGCTGGAAAACACACCCAATTTTCATTTCAGAAGCATTCGGTAATAATGTGTAGACTGTCTTTTAGTTGCTAAACATCTTAGGAAATCCCAAAGGAAATCCAAGCAGCATTTCCCTTGTACGTCATCCTAGCTCTCCATCCATGTTCCGTGTTGTCTTACTTTTCCATACTGGGCGCTCAGGTAAAATTGATTCAAGACATGATTCTTCTCTTTGAGGTATTTGTTTGCTTGTTTGTAACATTTGGACCCAGATTTTAAATAAAAAGTGATTCCCAACACAACAGAATAACTGAATTTAAAGTAACTGAGAGGCTGATCTATGTTATAGGGTTAATCTAATTTCTCCTCCACGGAGACCATTGCCCAGGTTATTACTTCTCTCAACACTGTTTATGACATGCTTTATATAGAAGAAGGCGGTACAATAGAAATAGAAGGTAAGCTGAGTCATAAAGGAAATTTAAAATGGACTAGTAGCCACATTAAAAAAGAAACAAGGGAAAATTAATTTTAATACATTTTCTTTAACTTAATATATCCAAACTGTTTCACTGTTACTGTGTGGAGAGTCCCTATCTAAAATTTAAATAATCAGATATTTTATTCAAATAGTATTTTGTTAATTGAGCAAATATTAATTATTCTTCTCAAGCATGTACAAAAATTATAACATAGCTATGTGAAACATATTGAAGTTTACATTGGAAAAACACCAAGGATGAGAATCATCATGTAGTGAGGTGAGATGTCTTAATATATCTCTTCTTTCTTTGTCTCCATAACACCCACCAAATGATTGGGTGGGACCATGCAGATAGGGTGTGTGAAACAGTACTACAAGAGACTGGTCAGTTTGGGTTGCTATTCTGTGTATAAGACAGCCATCCAGAAGGAAGAGGGAGAATGTATTGTCTTAATGAATATTCTCTATTTTAACTCTCTAGGATCTAATATCCAATGACTACACGAAACTCACAGACAAAATTCATGATTAAAGAGTTTATTAAGGAAGTTAACCTGTTTTAATGCCGGTGAGAAATTCTCATGGTTGAGTAGTTTATCATCAGCACATGTCATAAAGTTCTGTAAAGGCTGCTAATAAATGCCTAAAGGGCACACCACTCCACTATAAGCATCAACACCAAGGCATTCAGCTTAAGTCCACGGGTCAGAAAACCCACCTCCCTGAATGAAGTGCCCTGAGGTACCCCACTCCAATAAGCCTCAGCCCAAAGACACTCAGCTCCACTTTGGAGGGTCAGCAAGTCCAGCTTCCCTAATTAATAGCCCAGAGGCACCCCACTCTGGAAGCCAGCCATCCTGCACAAAAACACTCAGCTTTACTTGCTCAGTGGGTTGGGAAGTATATCAATCTGGTCAATGCTCTAGCTCCTGGTTCTGCTCTTGCTCCTCTGATGGTATAGCTGTCTTCTGGGCCAAGGAGGATCATTGGCTTAGAATCCTGAGACCAGAGGACATGATCCACTCTTAGCTCCTTCTGGTAATGAGATCCCTCCTTCTGCTTCTCAGAGGGCTATTTTATATGCAGCAGGATGGCATTCCAGGGCATCCTCCACATAATTACTCACAGGTGAATCCTATCCAAATCTCCCCACACCTTACCAGACCTATTCAAGAAAACATCATTTGATGGGAATTAGAGACTTTGGCAAAAGGAGCCACATTTAATCATGTACTGCCCTTGCAGAGAGAATTTCCAGGACCATCAAAGAAGGAGAGTCGTGAATGGAGTATGTTAAAGAACCCTGCCTAATGTGGAAGAAGCTGAGACAGGCACCAGAGGCTGTGGCATAGAGATTAGGGGGCAGAAGAAAGGAGTCAGGCTGGGACAGTGCAGTGGGGCTTTGCTCCTGAGACCTGAGACCTTGAAGTTGAGATAGAACGGCAGGTGCACTTCCTGCCCCACTGAAGCAGAAGCCAAGCAATTATGTGGCTCAGAGGCTGGGGACCAGAGAGTGACTTGGCTGCTCATTTAGGAGAGGGGCTGCTATGAATGGGTGACTACCCTTCATGTTCACTAATCCTGTCTTATGGAAACCTGTAGGAAACTTCCCTACTAAACTAGGAAAACTTCCCTAGTAAACCTCCATATTGATGAGATTTGTATGCGAGTTCTGTATGGCTGTTACAAAGATGGATCTAATCCAACAGAAAGGTGGATTGTCCTGGATGGAATAGTTGCTGTTAGAGTAGAATAAAAGAAGGATGGAGGCAAGTCTGACATCTGTCTTGAGTCAACTGGCTTGGGGGCTGATATAGAGATAGATTCTGTAGCCACAAGAGGTCAGATATGGCCTCCGTGACATTTTCTCACATTGTGTCAGTAAACACTGTTCCATACCATTGCCCTCCAAAGAGGTTACTTAGTGCTTTTTAAAAAGTCCATGTGAAATTCTTCTGTAAATACTGAATGCAAACATGAATATAAATCTTATCTTATACAAATAAATGTATTTTTAATATGACATTAGAGATAAAAGCTTATAGCTCTAAAGTTGTCATAGTTTTGCAATAAAATTTCATTAGTAGGGGCAAAGCTCCTTATGATTAAAATTTTAGTAACTACAAAATAAAAATAATTACTTTAGTATGGAATTATTTATATAAATGAGAGCATAAAAACAATTTCTATGCTATGTTTAGATTTCACTAGGAAATAATTGCCACAATATTCTTTTCTTAAAAACCCTAACATTTCATGGACTCTTATTTTGTTAAAAGAAAAACACCATATGCTATAACCTATAAGTATAAATTAGCATGAGCAAGCTTGTATAAGAGATAAATGCACATGAAGTACCTATATTTTGAATTTGTATTTTCAATATCTTTATATACACGTGAAAGTTGGACAATAAATAAGGAAGACTGAAGATCAATGGATGCCTTTGGATTATTAAAAGTAGCACGAGCTGCTGGAAGAACAAATAAGTCTGTGCCGGAAGCAGTATAACCAGCAGGCTCTTGAAAAGCGAGACGGTGGGACTTCACCGTACCTCTGCTGGACATGTTGTCAGGAAGGACCAATCCCTGGAAAGGGACATGATGATTGGTAAAGTAGAAGACAAAAAAAAGACCTTCAACAAAATGGGTTGCCAATGCTAACTACAACAATGGGCTCAAACATGACAATTGTGGGGATGGTGCAGGACTGAGCAGTGTTCTGTTATGTTGAACATGGGATTACTATTAATCAGAACCAACTCGAGGGCACTTAACATATTT